TTACTCATGGGAACATAAACTCAAAAATTATCTCATGATTGCTCTTCCCTTTAATAAAATACAGACAAACTCTGATTTAGTAAAGGAGTCCTATTAGGTTATACACACATTAACCCATATTTACTAAACCCATTCCCTGAGCTTTTTTAATCTTATTTTATTCAGAACATGAATGCCAATGGGGCCAGCCTTCAGAGTAGGAGGAATAATTATTCTTCCCCTTAATGTAATTAGATAGTTATTGGACAAAAAAATTCTCAGCCTCAACTCTAATTTACTGTCTGCTTTTGTCACCAAAAGAGCTCCATTATTCCATTCCAAGTATCTAAGTTCTACGATGTTAGAGTAGTATCCTAAACCCAAGCAAGGAAGAACACTAGCATCAAGAGAATAGACAACTTGCAAAAGACCCGAAGGAAAGTTCTTCTGTTCACCCACTCTTTATCAGCAGCCATGGGTAATGTTTTAGAGCCTCTTTAAAATGCTAATTAGCTCAGGTAGAGTCAAACTAAATGAAAAGCAAATTATAAAGATAGAATTAGAAAAATAGCATGGAAGAGGTAAAAGGTAGAAAAAGAAATGATGGATGGGTTTAGTAAGGGACTTTGAACGTGAATTCACCTTACCCCTGTCACAATTTTCAGAAGAAAAAGGATTAGTTTTACTCCATAAAGAGCTACAGTCTCAGAAAGCCTCAGGGGCAGTTCTACCCTGTCTCGGGAGTGAGAACCGACTCCACACAATGAGTCTGGTTTTCGTTTTTAGATCACGTCTCTTTACATTTGACCCGACCTTTCCCCAAGCCCCCGACTCTCCGGAAACATCTCTCACTAATTAATCTCTTCCTAAAGGGAATCACTCTAGACAACGTTTCACATGGAGGGGAACCTCAAACCCAGACATTGAAATATAACTATATTACTTTCAGGTCATCGCAGCACAGCTTAGCTAAGCAACCCTGAATTTCAATCAGTCTTTCTCTTCCATCCATGGCCTTACACCTGCCTGATTCTCCTGAATGAGGACTCAGAGCTCACCTGTCCATAAAATTCCAATGGAAAGGAAAGCAAGTGGGGGGCACGTCCACAAAGACGACACACACGTCGTGTAGTCTCCGTCTGATGGTAGTGGTTGCTGCCTGGCTCCTCCTTCAGTTGACTGCACTGCCCATTGCTTCAGGCCATTCACTTCCCCGTCCCAGCTTGGTCTCTCATTTGTCATCCCAGTGATTCTGACGTTGGTCTCTTTAACACCAACCCATGTCATAATTATTTTCATGACACAAGCTTTTGATCATGAATGAATTTTTTTAATTGACAAATAGATGTCACCTCTATTTTTGCCAAAGATATTAGCTTACTCCTTTGCGTGAAACTCGTCTGATCCTGAGAACAGATTATTATCGAGCATATGTAATACCATTTTCAAAGTATGCTATAACACTGGTGTTTGCTCTGCCCCTCCCCGCCAACTCCCCCACAAATGACTGTAACAATCAACATTCACGTGTTATCTGATAAAGTAGGTATTGTTCTCATGCATTTGAACACATGCAATTCCTTGAGGGGGGTGCTTTTGTTGTTAGGTGCACTCGTGTCTGTTCCGACATAGAGAGACCCTGTCTCTGCACAAGCAGGAGACATCGCCCAGGCCGGTGCCATCCTCGCAATTGGTCTGAGGCTTAAGCCCCTTGTGGATTTCCTTGCATCAATCCATCTTGTCAAAGGGCTTCCTCTTTTTTCTTTTTTGCATCTCCACTACTTTATGAAGTATAATGTCCTTCTCCAGGGACTGATCTCTCCTGACAATATGTCCAAAGCATTTGAAACGAAGTCTTGCATATCCTAGCCTCTACGGAGCATTCTGATTGTGATTTTTTCAAGACAGATTTGTTTATTTGTTTGCTTTTGACATTCCATGATATTTTCAATATTCTTTGCCAGCACCATATTCTAAATGCATCAATTCTTCCCTGGTCTTCCCTACTTGATGCACAAGTTCTGTGTGTGTATGGGTGGCTGGAAATACTGTGGCAGACATACTGTCATCCTCAGAGTGGCTCTTGTGCATCTCGTGCATTACCCAAGGCCATGTGTCATTTCATCTCCTGACTGATGCTTCCATAAGCATTGATTATGGATCCAAACAAGATTACATCCTTGACTTCATTTTCCCCTCCATTTAGCCTATTGGTCCAGTTGTGCAGATTGTTTTTCCAATGAGGGAGGTAGACTCTCTGCTATCCAAATGGGAATAGTCAGAGGCACATTCTAATATGCAATCCTTCCATGCAGGTTAGGAAAGGAAATTACTTAATACATTTTACTTTCAAGGAATCTCTTCTGTAAAGATCGCTGAGTCCTCCTTTAGAAGAATCACATGGGTGTAAGCAGGATTAAAGAGAAAGATATTAAAATATTGACCATATGTAGAAAGACTTTGATTTTTGCAGCCACTCACAGGTCTCAGAAACGATATCTTGTTTGCTTCCTAATACTTTAGCCAGAAACCTACTTCTGCTATAAAGAAACCATTACATACCATGGCATGTCATTGATGGTTCAGAGAGATTGATATATACAGATAAAACTTTCCTTTTCCTTGCCTAGAATCTGAAGGGAAAAGATCAATGTGAGACATCACCAGCTACCAAAGTCAATAAATAAAAAAGGATCAAACCCTCCTGGAATAAAATAAGGGAAATCTCAGGTGCCTTTCGATCGGCAACTTTGTCTTTTGATTTTTATGCTATTCTGTTGTTTTTTCAACCCAAATTTTCAGTCACCATTGAAATTAGGGGAAATTATAAATCAAAACAACAACAACAAAACGCATTGCCAGTGAGTCGATTCTAGCTTAGAGAGAATTTTTAGGACAGAGAGAACGGCCTCTCTGGATTTCAGAGGCTGTGAATCTTAATCGGATCCACCTGCCTCATCTTTCTTCAGCGGAGCAGTTTCAAACTGCTGACTTTGTGGTTAGCAGCCCAACACAGACCCACTATGCCACCGGCCTTCTTGGGGAAAGGAATAGAAAACCTTGCATTCCCTTTTTGAAGACGTTTGGCATATAAATGTTAGAGCTAGAACAGACCAAAAGAGATCATCTGGGTCAATTTACCTTTCACCTTCAGCCATCTAAAGCCCAGCTAGCAAACCCATTGAGTGACTGTTCCCATTGCAATGCTTACACATGTGTTTACTTCCAAATGGACGAAAGCTTACAAAATTATTTTTAATTGAATATGTTTTCAAAAATGATTTTCTTTAAAAGAACCCAAATGAAGTTCACGCATAGCAAAATTTATTCACCTCATCTACTTACCTGACTCCCTGCACCCTACCCTTAATGTTGTTTTAATAGCTGGCAAATATTAGCTGGAGAATTAGGCTTTGAGAAAAGCTTGCATCTCAAAAGTTCTGTTGCTCTTAAGCCAGCTTGGGCATGTTGTCTTTCACATTCCACAATTCGGCTCCTATCACATGTTAAATTGGCTGGTTCTCCCTCGTTTTTTCTTTAGATGTTCCCTTCCCAAGTCATTCACCCCAGGGGGAAAAAGTAACCTCCAAATAGGGGAACATCAGTCAGCCTGAAATCCCCGACAATCCTGTATGCAAGTGAGGACTTCTGGGGCTTCTGGGTAGAGAGCAAATTTATTCCAAGTCTAGTTCTTAGTATACCATTGTGATGCAATTATTTTTTATCTAAACTGACAAATAATATATCCAAAGGGTGTCCCTCTTCTGCCAGAAATATATTTTGTCTCAATTGCTATTTCTTATGGATTAAAATGGTTCAGAAAATATTACATAAGAAAGAGGGATGCCCATTTTTTTCTCTGGGTGGATCTTTCTCTGTGTCAATGTTAAAAAAGTGATGGCATGTAAGCTCCCCAATGAGGCCAAGCGCACAGATGACGCTACTTGAGGTATTGGAATGAAAAGTTTAGACTTTTTTCTCCACCTGGTGGATGGGGGTGGAGGAGCAGCAATGGTGACTTTCTTTTGACGTTCCCCCCCTCATCCTAGTGGATTCTATTCAAGTTCACCATCACTGATTGCTCAGCAGTCAGATTCAGGCAAGCATGTAACACAGAGCCTCTCAAGGTTAAAACAGAAGCACTTAACTTACAAAGCATCACTTAAAATGTTATTTTGGGGTTACTTGTTAAATTACCAATTTTTATTGATCAATAATGGCTTCTTAGCCCACTGGGGTAGGCAGGACTATCAGGTTAAGTCTGGGACCAGAGTAAGAATAACATGATGACATATCAACACAAGGACGCAGGAAGGATAAGTTATGACCCATGGGTCACTTCAGGGCAGCTCATTCATTTCATCTCAAAGCAACTTCCTGTTACTCCTTGTACCTCTCATTCTAAACATTCTTGCACTTTCTTAGTATCACCCTTTGAAATTATGAGAACATTTTATATTTGGTGTATTTCTCAATTTGAAAATTCAAAAAAAATGTTTTGGGACATCTCGCATGTGAGGTCAAGATTCTTAAAGATTTGAAGTTAATAAAATGCAAACCTTGAGGAGAAAATGAAATAAAACTAGATAAGGTTCAGGGAGAACAAACTGAGCCTGAACCTTCACTTAGAAGAGGAAAGGGGAACTTGCATGTGGGGTCTTCTAAGAGCCCTGTGGGGCTCTGGATCCTGCCTATATCAGAAAGCTTCTGGGATTCAGCACTCCTGAGTCATAGGGGATGAGTGATGGAGTAGAAAGGTAAGTAACTCAACATTTAGGTACTTTACCCGTAGCATATGAAATTAAACTCCTCACAACCATTTCCATGTACTCTAATATTCTTGAAGGCAATTAAAGAGTTTTCCATGACTCATGCCCTTTGAGTAAGTCTATAACTAAAACCTCCAGTTTTTCCCTAGTGATAGGGTTAGAATCATATTCTGAATCTTGAGAATGGTTTACAATCTCTTGCAAAGACAGATAATATCACGCCCACTTACTAAAGCTGCTATGCTATTGCAGAGATACCGGAAATAATAAGGAAAAGGAGCCCAAGAGATGCACACCTTGGTGAAGTACATGATCATATTCCATTGGAGAATTCAAGCTTTGTCACCTACACCAGCTTCAGTGCCAGGTAAGTGCCTCAATGTACCCTCTTCCCATGTGGTTTCCTGAGAATCAATGGGCAATTTAAAAAATCTAACTGAAACAGAATATCTACTTTCACAGCTCCTACACTGACCAACACATTTTTCTCATAAAATTAAGCTCATCTCTATTTCCCTCATATTATTAAGCTAAACAAATGGATCTTCCATACCATCCCCCAAAGCATCTTTATCTTAGTTTACCAAAGGTAACTGAAAGTTATATCTTCCCAATTTTCTTTCAGAGCAACTTCAGAAACTCTAGAAATGTTGACTAGGGCCACTAATGTCTATGTGTGCATTTTCTGTAATTACTCCATCCTCTATTCACAATAAATGGGCAATGAAGTCGTCTTCTGCAAAATAAAGTAAAACATTCTTCTTCCATGTTCTCTTTTCTGTAAGCTATAGTGTGCAGTACAAGTGTGGTGGGCTGGGATGCAGGCTGAGAAGTTGAAGGACGTCTGCTTGGTTGACTTTAGACAGAGCCGATTGACCCAAACTTTTTTCAAAATGTTACCAACATTTCAAATCTTAGCAGATACCATATAGCAAGAAGACCATCTTAAAGATTTATGATTGTGATTGTCTAAGGGTCTCTTATCAGCAAAATGCACTGGCACCATGCAGTGTAAGTTCAAATGTCAGCTCCAACCTGCATGAGACCTTGAAGAAGTTGCTATATTTCCAGGTGTTATAATTTATGGGCTGTAAATTAGAATAATAATAAACATGTTCCTTTTGCATGAAGCTGAATGATCAGGTATTGAAAGTATTTTTGTTTGATTCTTGGTGGACAGTAAGTGTTAACTACATGTTACTGATTATTACAAATATTATGTAATCTTATATATGGCAATATGTACATATTTAGCCTAAATGTGTAATAGTGAGTGCAGAGCCTTCCCAGGATGTAGATTTTGAAATAAATCCTTTATTTTGTCCTATTTATGCTAAAATGTACCTCTTTTTTATAAAGCATAATGACACATACTTCTGTTTGAATTAGGATTCTAGGAAGCAGGCTCTAGGTGATAGAGTTTCTGTTGCATTTCCAGCACAGCACATAATATGTCCAGGCCCCAGAGGTTCTATTACTTCATGCATACACTTTCCAACAATCCTGGAAATTTTCTATAGGTTCCCAAGCATATTTATTCTACCACACCCTTTTACAAAAACAAATATATATATATATAGATAGATAGATAGATTTATATAGATTTCCTCAGAAGATATGTGTGTATGTGTGTTTGTGTTCAGCTACCCTAGCAATTAAAAGCTTTTGTACGATAGCCCATAATCCAGGATAAAACGGTGTACCTTGAGCTGTGATCCGAAAGGTCAGCCATTTGAAACCACCAGCTTCTCTGCAGGAGAAATATGGGGCTTTCTACTCCTGTAAACAGTTAAAGTGTCAGAAGCTCATGGGGAAGTTTTACCCTGTCCTGTAGAGTCGCTGTGAGTCGGCATCAACGTGATGGTAGTGAGTTTGGTTTGGTTGGTCTGGATCACTCCAGAACCACCAGGGAGCATTGTCACCCACTTTTGGACACAGTCTTCCTTGCCTTCCATTTCAGGATCTGATGGGGCCAAGTGAGATAACCTATGTGCCTTCTTTGTGTTTAGAAGATATTTTGCTCAATCCTTCCAGAGATATAGAAATGATGTCTCAATCTACATACAATCTGGGTGGATAGTTAACACTGATTCATATAAATAAATTAGAGACTGAGTTAGCATGTTAGGCTTCTCTAGAGAAACAAAACTAGGACACTTATGATTACATATCAATAGACGGATAGGTAGATAGAGTGATTGATAGATAGATAGAGCACAAAGGAATATAACAGCTAATTAGTCCCCACAGCAGTAAGATGGCTCAGTTCAACTCACTTCCATGGAACAATTAATATAATGGAAGTCCTTCAACTCACAAGAGCTGCTGGGTCCAAGGTCAAGGGAGCAGACAGCTGAGTCTTCTTTAAGGCAATGCAGGCAGTCTAGCCACAGGCAGCAAACAGCAGGGTGGTCATCAACAGTCAGAGAGATGACAGGATCTGACAGTCCCAAGCTCAGGTGATGTAAACACTAGCAGCATGGCAAAGCATGTCTCAAAGGAATCCCAACCTCTAGCAACACAATCCATGGGTTGGGTGTCCCACAGGTAGTGTAGCTCACAAGTTGAGGCAGAGAACTAACAGCTGCATGCTGGTCAGATCACCAGCAGCAAGAGAGTTTCTTCAGGGATCCATATTTTTTTCCCAGTGTGTGACAAAAACCACTAGAGTTCAAACTTTGAAAAGCCAAACGTTGTTCCTTTTCCTTCTCCAGGCAACTCTCTTGGAATGCAAATGTCCTGAGTACTTCAAAACACTGGGTGGGGCTTCTTTTTTCACAGCTGTCTTTGCAGGTGTGCCTAAATCCATTTAAGGATCCAGTTGTAATGGCTGAAGACAAGTGGGCTTACAAGCTCTCTATTTTCATACTTCCCAATAAACGTTTCTATCAATCATTATATCAATAATAAGCAGGAGAAATCAGTACAAACAAAGTAGAATCAGATACTAAACAGTCAAGTTCAATTCTTATTTAGCTAATCTAAATCCTTATCTAAACTATTCTATTGATACAGAAATATGGGTTTAGGTCTCTGAGAGCATTGCCTTACGCCAGAGTTAGGCCTTCTGTCAGTCATTTTGATGTCAGCCAGCCATTTTCTGTAACCAGCATTGTCTCTGAGAAATTCAAGGGGCAATTTTCTACCTGAGCTCAAAATATACATTAAAACCATTCATTTTTGCCATTTCACACAGGAATAACCAAAGACTACAACCAAACAAAATAATCAAAACGTTAACTTCCCATATTCTTTCCAGAAAACAACCCAGTAAACTGCAAGGACATATCTGACCTCTGGCTAGCCCAAGAAGAAACACTACCATGAGGCAGAAATCAAATAAACATCTACTCTCCATCTTTATGATTTGTTTCTCTAGTACCCTACTTCCAAGGTACCATAATGTGTTAATCCGGTTGACTAGAGAAACAAATACAGGAAGACTCATATTTGTATAAGAAAGAGCTTTATATACAAGAGCAGTTGAATATTGAGAAAACATCCCAGCCCAATCTAGATCAAGTCCATAAGTCCAATATTAGCACATATGTCCAATACCAATCTATGAAGTTCTCTTCAGACTCATGAAACACATGCAATGACGCTGAATGTAGGAAGATCACAGGCCAGTGGGTGGGAAATCTTGTGGATCCAGTGGTGGTAGAAGCATCTCAGCACTGGCAGGGGTCTCCACATGACTCCTCCAGTTCCCAGGGCATGGGGTTTATCAGAGTATTGCCATGTGTCTTGTCAGTAGAGTGTCTCTTAGGGAGTGAGCAGAGAAGGGGGGGAAGTAGGGGTGGGTGGGATACGGGAATTCCCAGATCCTCAGGGGAAAGCCACACCCACACAGAGGCTTCATTGGCTATGACCCAGTTGACAGACTAGACTCCACCCCTTTACTCTTAATCCTGTCAAATCTCAAATTGACATCAGATTATCTAACTACCACAGTTAGGTAGCATTGCTTCAAGTGCTGCAAGGGTAATAATATATTGATTATCATACATTCACTATAGAAAGTGGAATTTAAATGAGTAGGGAAGGTGGAAGAGATTGGGAATCCCAATTCCTATGAAGAATATGATACTGACAAGACATAAAGGTAAAGTAAAACATGCCCTGTATCAGCTAGTCTGATGAGAGATGAAAATACATGGTAGAATGTTGACGAAATAACATTTGAAACTTAAAAGAACATAGGTTTGCCTATTTAGCCTTGCACATGCATTTATATATGCATCTATGATATTTTTTATCTATTGTAAAATTACATTATCCCAATTCAAAGTTGAAAAAAAAATGAGAACATGAACGCAGCATATACTACAACATATAAAGTGGTCTACCATGTTAATTTTTTCATTTATTCAATTTCAAGTCTTCTCTGTGATATTAGATAATGTACAAGTCATACATAATCAGTAGCCACAGAAAACCCTGGCTTCCCCCACTATTCTTTAGCATAGCTATAAAAATAAAATAATTTACCTTCATGATATTTCTCCCCCATTGTCTTTAATTCCCCCGATGGTGCTGTTGGGTGAATGTTGGGCTACTAATACTAAGGGGTGGTTCTAATCCACGGTGGCTCCATGGTGTGCTGTTGTTAGGTGCCATATAGTCTGCCCCAACCCATAGCGACCTTAGGCACAACAGAAGAAAACACTGTATTGTCGTGTGCCATCCCCACAATTGTTCCTATGCCTACTGATGCAGCCACTGTATCAATCCAGCTCCTCGAAGGCCTTCCTCCTTCCCTGCCCTTCCACTTTACCAAACATGATGTCCTTCCCCAGGCACCGGTCTCTCCTGACAACATGTCCAAAGTGTGCAAGACAAAGTCTCACCCTCCTTGCCTCTAAGAAGTACTCTGACCTTACTTCTTCCAGTACAGATTGATTTGTCCTTTGGGCAGTTCATGATACTTCCAATATTCCTCACCAACACAATTCAAATGCACAGATTTTTCTACAGTCTTCCTTATTCAATGCACAATTTTCACATGCATATGATATGGTGTGGGTCTTAGGCAGCATATTTAAGTAATGCAGTATGTCCTTTGATCTCTTGATTGCTGCTTCCATGAGCATTGATTGCGGATCCAAGTAAGACAAATTCTTGACAATTTCAACCCTTTCTCCATTTGTCAGGATGTTGCCTATTGGTCCAGATGTGAGGAGTTTGGTCTTCTTTACATTGAGTTGTAATCCAGACTGAAAGCTACAATCCTTGATGTTCATCAACAAATGCTTCCATTCCTCCTCACTTTCAGCAAGCAAGGTTGTGTCATCTGCATCTCTCAGGTTGTTAATAAGCTTGTCTCCAGTCCTGATGCCACACTCTTCTGCATGTCATCCAGTCTCT